GCAGCCGTACATGCTAGCCACTACACCACCGAGGCAGTATATAAATAGTCATTACCCAGCGTTAGCCATATAAATTTTAATATGGTTGTTAAGTATTCTTAAATAAGTATTCTTAAATTTTATAATTTTCCGCGCAATTTTTTAATTTTTTTCTTTCATAAGAACCTTCTTCTGACGATAACAAACACAACAAAAATCCAGCCGTTCACGCGTGATGGCGTGACTAAGGGAAATAGGCTTTCATTTTTATATATATAGATAAGATTATAAAGAGGCAAAGTTTGTTTGTATGTTTTTTTTTTGTTTGTTTGTTGGGTTTATTGTTTGTAGTCTATTCATAATAGCGTTTTTAACAACGTGACCTTTTTTGCTGTAAAGCATTCGAAACATCATGTCACAAAAATATAAAATAAACACATTCAATTTAAAATGTCAAATATTCACGTAAATCTAAGATAGTACTTATTTGCTTAGTGAAACTTCATATTATGAGTAGTAAAATATTGTAAGGTACTTTGGTGCCTTTTTTTCAATTTCTTGAATTCATTTTGTTATTTGTGGGTAGGCTTTCTGTAACAACTATATCTTCGAGACATCTAACACCTCAGTCTCTCCCGTGACCATGATTGCTGTAAAGCATTCGAAACGTCGGGAACCAAAAGTCAAAATAAATCCGCGAAAATATCCGAAAAGATAGTTTTATTTAAAATGTCAAGCATTCGCGTAAGTCTGAGAAAGTATTAAATGTTTTGAATAAAGTTATTCCGTAGCTTTTAAAATACATGAGTCTTGAGGTTTCGTATGAACTTGAATGATGGATAGCTTTAAAATCTACCTGAATAAGTAAGGATAAGAGCGTTTTACTTAAATTTGAACGATATTTAACGACCTGGCCAACTTCAAGAAGAGAGCGTATTCCTTCCATAAAGGCCGGCAACGCATCTGCAAGCCCTGCGGTGTTGCAGATGTCCATGGGCGGCGGTGATCACTTTCCATCAGGTGAGCCTCCTGCCCGTTTGCCCCCTTAGTCCCATAAAAAAAAAAGATTTGGGTTATTTTTGACATATTATGTGAGTTAATATGTTAGCCAATTGTGAATATTTTTTCTAGTGGTAGCTCAGTGGTAACGCACTCGCTTGGTAAACTGAGTGAAGCGGGCTCAAATCCGGGTCTCGCTCTAATGTTTTCATTTCTAACACGATCACCACTTACTTTACAGTGAAAGAAATCATCGTGAGGAAAACTGCATGTCTAAAAGAACCTAGCAAGTTTTTGAAAGACATGTGAAGTCCGCCAACCCGCACTTGGCCAGTGTGGTGGACTATGGTCTGATCCCCTCGTATTGAAGGGACCCTCAGCAGTGGGACGTTAAAAAAGGGCTAAATACATTTAAGAAAAAAATCAAATGATTTTAAAGTCATTATACCCTCTTAGTTCAAAAGTATCAAAATATTTCGGCATGATTGATGAATCATGATGGAAAAAATAATTAAAGTAAGGAAAAAAATATTGCCCGTAAAGTTTGTAAACTTGCTTATTTGAATATAAACTAAAATAAAAGAGAAGTTTGTAAATTAACTTGATTAAAAATTGTTTTAGGGTCTACTCGAGAGGGCTGAATACAAATAGGACTAACTCATTTCTTAATAACATTACTAAACTGATATTCGTAATTTTTGGAGCGGAATTCAAAAAGAAAAAATTTATTTAAGATCTATTAAAAAATCCTAATTTAGCTCGAAGTAAAACGATGGACGGGTTGTATATAAATTTTAAGTATACACCATAAATTTATAATTATTAAAACCCTTTAATAAATTAAATGCAACACTTTAATTACAATATTGCTTCACCAAACGCAAAAGGCGTTTGGAATAGATTGCGAATGCTTTACAGCAATCATGATCAGTTCCTCCTGTAACATAAAAAAGTTTTATTTAAAGCTTAGTTGCTAATAGAAATGTAATAAAAATTATCGTGCTTACAATTATTTTCACCGTATGTATGTACGTAACTTATGTAGGGCTCATGCCCTACTGTTCCTACTGTTTGTCCTTCAATTATTTATTGCTGTAAAATCCTATGAAATCAATAAACTTCATAATATGTTTTAACAAATAAAAACTTAAAAAAAACCGACTTCCATGCACTAAAATGTAAAAAAAATAACTTAACAGGGGTTTTCATTTAGAACAGATACCTAATCAGATATTTTCGAAGTCGGTGCCAGCTGACGCAAAGCAAATCTAATACAATATTTCGATACGTAAAATACAAATTTACCTATTAGATCCTAAAATATTGTCGGCTGACACCGACTCGGTTTTTTTGTAAGATTTTGTTTTTCCATTTTTAGAGTAGACGCAGTAAGCAGGTAATTTCTAAGAAGAAAGTTTTTTAATAACATATTCAATTGAACAATTTATTTAAACAAATATTTTTTGTCGACCGATTTTGATAAAATTTATATCGGACCACCTGGGAAGTATATGCTTTGAAACGAAAAAAAATTTTCCGAATCGGTTCAGGCGGTTTAGGCATTATTTCGCATTTATATAAATATTGTCGGCTTTGCTTTAACCTAGATATAACTCAAACGCCATCTATCATACCTCAACACTACAATTCATTAAAGTTTCATCGTAATGGGAAGAATATTTTAGGCATGTATGCAACAAAGAGACGAACACACATTTTGCAATAGACGGATATCATAATAATAATAAGCCTTCTATTTACTTTCAATCCTAACTTGAATATTACTAATAGCAAAAAAAAACAAAATACACTTAATTAGATTATTGAAGTGAAAACTTCTATAGGCAGGTTTAGATAGGGAGTAAATTCATGTGAATCGTCATCGACATGGTCACGTGACGTGTTAACGCTAACACACAGAGTGCCGATAGATGTCAAAACCAGATACAAATTCTAATTTAAGATCAAACAAATAATTTGAATATCCAAAAATAAAAACTGTTTGTTTATAGTTTTAAGTTTTCACTTCTGTCGGCAGTCCTCATGATTGCTTTTTTTTTAAATTAAATTATTTCATATTTACTTTTAAATGGTCCTGGATTAGAACCCCAGATTGATTACAGGCCTCTTTCAGTTTGCTCCAGACTTACCTTTCGCCTTGGTAGTAATGGACAGACATACAATTACAAAAATATTATATGTATAAATTTTTAATATTGTTATCAATGTTTAGGGTTTGAGATAAGAGGGTTAAAGAGTACTGGCCTCCAAAATTATTTGCGTATTAGTAGCATATTGAGTACAGACAAGACAATTTGTGTAAAAATGTGGCTAAAACTACTTCTGATTTCTTTCTTCTGTTGCAACTGCATCGTAAGTAGAAATTTAAATTTATAACTTTAGCTTGACATTTTTATCTGTAGATATATATAATATCATCATATAAAATAATTGATACTGAGTCGAATCTGTACATTAAATATTTTTTGGAAAATCTTATTGAAATAGTCATTATTATCGATACAGAGGCCGAATCTATAGTTTTTAGAGTTTTTGTCTGTCTGAAACGCACGAGAAAACTACTGGATAGATTTTGATGAAAATTGGTATGATGATAGCTGCTTATCCGGGTCAAGATATAGGATACTTTTTACTGCAAGAAAATATCTCATCTCTGAAAAATCTATACTAACCGACGAACATAAGCAGAGCGAGAGTGAGTCGCTAGTATAATATACCTATGAACACATTTCTATAATAAGCATGATTATTACCTTGTTAAGCGAATCTCTAAAGTAATTAAATTTACTTTGACTGTATTCAGAAAGTGTTAGATTTCTTTACACTTAGTACGTTTTAATTTAAGTTCTAATTTATTTAATAATTAGGAAGCCAATTTTAAATATACTTTATCTATACTAATATTATAAAGAGGCGGAGTTTGTTTGTTTATTTGTTTGAACGCTCTAATCTCAGGGACTACTAATCTGATTTGAAGTATTCTTTTTGCAATAGATAGCCTGTTTATTGAGAAAGGCTATAGACTATATATCATCATATAATATATATTCTATCTATTCCATACTAACCGTTAAAACGTACCTAAGGAGTCCTTACAAGCGATGGTGAGTCGCTAGTTTAATTAATACTTATCCCCAATGTATATAGACACATCCAAATATAAAAAAACTTGAATATTGTCGTACATATTTTTGGTATGACAATCAAACAAAGTTACTAGATATTAGATATCTTGGCCTCGGTTTTGTACGCTTAAAAGTGCCTTTGTCTAAATCCAGGTCATTCGTATTTGTAGTAAATATCATCCAAATCTGTCCAGCTTTTTTAACGTGATGAAGTGATAAACATAAAAATGCATAAAAACTTTTAAATAAAGCAATGAAGTACATTAACTATAAAGGAAAGAACACATATACTTAAATATATATACAAAACAAATGCACACTTAATTATTCCTATATTTATTATTACAAGTCATGTCCGCGTGGAATTGTGGCATGAATGCTAGCAACATTCCTCGGCTGAATGGCAATACTGATTCTTTGGGCGAAAAACAAGCCAGCTCTCCTGTCACCAGTAGATACGATAAGACGAGGTTTGATGTCTTCTTAAGAGAGATTATCGATACAGAGGCCGAATCCATAGTTTTTAGAATTTTTGTCTGTCTGTCAGTCCGTCCGTCCGTCTGTCTGTCTGTCTGTTACCGCTACACGAAAAAACCACTGGAGGGATTTTGATGAAATTTGGTATGATTGTTGCTGGTTATCCGGGTCAACATATAGGATACTTTTTCTGCGGGAAAATGTCTCATTTCTGAGAAAAAATACAACAACTGCAATGTAAGAGTATACTAATATGTAAAACCTAAGAATTTGGGTTTTGGTTATCAGAACGCGGGCGGAGCCGCGGGCAATGGTAGTCAATTATATATTTTCACTTGATTATTTCTATTTCAGCTTTCACACTCCTTTGATCTTAGTGGAGTGGTGACAGGGAACCGCATGGCTGCTGTTCCACTGGGCAGGTCTCTGGGAGAAGGCGAGCTAGATATCGAGGGTGTATGTATGGAATCAGGCATGGCATGCCAGAATTGTACTCACGCTGTTACTTGCATACCTTTACCTGTTGGATGGCTTAAGGTAATAATAAGAATCGTTTTTGTTTCTAATATAATTATGCCTGTGTTTTTATGTATGTAGTCGACTCTTTTTAACGTTCCACTGCTAGGCATGGTCTTCCCTTTAATACGAGGGGGTTCACGCCATAGTCCGCCACGCTGGCCAAGTGCGGGTTGGCAGACTTTATATGTTATTCGAAAACTTACTAGATTTTCTCAGACATTCAGGTTTCCTCACGATATTTTCCATTACCGTAAGACAAGTGACAAGCATGTTGTAAATGATTCGAAGTATTTCTATTAAAATGATTTTAAAGTCTTATACCATTTAAAATAGTTATTTTTTATTATAATATAATATTTATAAAGCTTTATATTAAAAACCTGCTACTGTCTATGTTTGTATGTATGTATGTGTAAACTCGCTGAAGTCAAAATGTACATAAAAAAGACCATCTCTTTCGCAACAATCGGGTAAAAGCGTTTAAAATGAATCCTAATAAAAAGATTTTGAGGACTCACGATATTTGTTTAAGAAAAACGTTCTGGGGGATCATGTTGTGGCTGACTGGCGAACCTTTATAATCCTATCGAAATGATATGCGACGAAATTGAAATTACAAACATATTCTAAAGCAAAATATAAAGACATGTTTAATGTAATTTTTATATACAATAAGTACCTAATAATTCGTCAATCTTAGTTTCAAGTTTCGATTTTTTGAGTACGAACTGTTAGGAGGCCGATCCCGTTAGTCTTTTTAAAAAAAACCACAAAATAAACCTAAAAGTTTATTATAAAGTTCACACACAAACTTTCATAAATTCTTGACTTCCGAACTTTAACGCGTCTCGGAATCTATGTCCGATCTATCCGGGGCTCTGAGTCTAACTAACTTTTAAAATAAAATTAGAATTAAAGTTGAAAAAGGAACAATGCAATTGCTGACTAAGTTAATGTAAAGGAAAAATACTTTTAATTAAATAAATGCTTACTAAGATTTAACTGCCTTGTAAAAAGGGATATAACAGCTCCCCCTTTTTGACTGAGCTTTTTCTAAATTAAGATGAAGCGAAGTTTCGAAATAGAAAAATGATTAGAGGTCGGAAGTCATCACAAAATATAGAAATAGAAAATCTAGAGGTAGAATTTAACAAAATTAATGAAAATTGAATAATGGAATTATATAAAGGTAAAATAGTAAAATCTAAAATTAAAGTATATGAAATAGTAAAATTAAAACAATAGTATTTTAAACAAAATAGTAAAATTAAAAATTAAAGTTTTTTTTTTTTTTTTTTGAAATAGCGAAATTAAAAATTAAAGTATTTTAATTGAAATAGTAAAATTAAATACAATAGTATTTTAAACAAAATAGTAAAATTCAAAATTAAGGTATTTAAAACGAAATAGTAAAATTTTAAAATTAAAGTATTTAAATTGAAATGGTAAAATTTAAAATTTAAAGTATTTTAAACGAAAAAGTAAAATAAGAATAAAAGTAATTTAATCGAAATAGTAAAATTTAAAATTAAAGTATTATGTGTAAAGTGAATACTTTATTTGATATTGTAACAATTATTAAAATGGTAAAACAAGTCGTTTTACTAAAGATTTAGGAATTAGCAAGTAAATTGATAAAATGATATAGTAGAAATAGCATTAAAGCATAGTAAAGTACATAGTAGAATGTAGCAATTAAATCTATAAAATAATATGAATTTTCTTAATTGATTTAGTAAGATATAGCAAAATAATACAAAATAGAAAATAGAAATTAAAATTTATATAACAATAAAATAGATTATTAGTATTAATTTAATTTTTTTATTGAAACTAAAATACAATAAAAATTAGAAATTAAGATTTCTTCCAGAGGAAGAATGAGCCTTGTGAAAAGTTCTATAGGGTTTATTATTAGCATAATTTGGTAATGATTTTATTGAGTTTATTTCTTCTTCAGATGTTGATACATCAGTCATCTCAATTGAATTTGTTATCTTAGAATTATGTTTCGATGACTTTTTTATTATTACATTGATTAAATATTTGTACACAATATCCACTATTATTTGAACAATTTCTGAAACATTTAAATAATTTACAGGCTAAAAATAGAAATAATAACACAATTAATATATATGTAAATGTAGAATAATAAGAGCCGTATTTAATAAAATGTGATTCCTTTTGGAGATTATTTAATTCAAATTCTAAATTGTCTAGCTGATGATTTGCATATTTTAAGGAATCTAAGTTAACTTTGCTTAAAGTAATTGGCGTTAAACGTGGTAAACTTTTATTAAATATTTCTCTTTTGCAACAGTCATCCTTTGTTATATCAAAGCTTACATCTATAGCTGATTTAATAGAAAATTGATAAGTGCTCGTTGGCAATAATTGAATAGTTTTGGAATAACCAATACAATTTTCGGTTAATTTGACAATACCTGTGCCAATAATAGAATGCTCGGTAATATCATCATTACATTTTATAGTTAATTTATTTATATTGGATTGTACATAAATCCATCTATTATTTTTTAATTTATGCCAAATATCGATTTGGCCGAATAACAACTTAGCATTACATTCAGAAGGTAAGGAAATAACTACTTCTGTTAATAGTTTTGATTCACAATTAGGATTATTTATACTAGATATTATGGTAGGTAATTCACAAATAGAATAGTTATTATTAATAAATTTTACAATCGTCTAGGTTATTAAACATAGTATAATGTATTCTATCGTCACTTAAAGCAGTATAAGAATTAGAAGGTTGAATAAGTGCAAAAGTTTGTATATGTGACTCGTCATGAGGAGTCGGTAATGGAATGTTTTTATAGACAGTGAATTTATCAGGTGTTATCAGTGGAATTTGCAAACTGAAAACAATCTTATTGTTATAGTAATAAGAGCTAAGTTTTGAGACGTCAATCAAAGAATTAATATTATGTATATTTAATTGTAATGGAAAATCTAAACGTTTATTCATTTGATTAATATGCTTAATTAATTCATTATAAAGATTTGTAGGGCTGATCACGCTAGGATGCAAAACATTTACCTTGGAAAATAAAATAGCATTTACAGTTGTATCGAGCAAGTTAGAAATTGCAAGTAAGGAGCTTTCAATTATGTTTAGTAAATTATTTATCTTTGATATATGAAGAAGTATATTATCCGTTTGTGTAATTTGCGAAAGAATTCCATTCATGTTATTAATTTGTGTATTTAATCTTAATTCATTTTGATTTAATTTATAAATAGTGGAATTAAAATTATTAATGGTAGATTTAATTATATGAATATTATCCTTGAATAAATTATATAATTCTGTCTCACTTTTCCGACAGGATTCTATCGCGGCATCATATTTTCGCGCATCGTCTGCGTCTAGAGTACCGAAGAAAAATTTAAGAATTTCGCCTCCAAATTCTAGAGATCTTTTGACTTTATTTGGCGATTGATTATTATTGATTAAATGTGCTAAAGATTGCAATTTAACGTAATTATATTTTATTAAGATTTCTAAAGGATTTGAAAAATCTTTACATTGAGAAAATTCGTCAGTATTGATTTTGGAGCAAAGGTTTATGATATCATATAATAAATTTTCAATTTTTTTAAGATAAGGGTCTAAAGATATAAGGTCTATATGTGTTATGACCTTCCAATAGTCGTTATAAAAATTAATATGCGTAATGGGTTCAAAATAAATTCCAGGACTATGTGATATAGGAATGATCCTTGATTCAGCGTGGCTTTGGCTTCCATAGCATAAAGCTCTGAAAAAGAATATATTTATAAAATAAATTAAATTTGAGAAGTAGAAATAGCAGGTTTAATCTCGTTTGTATGATATTTAATATGTTTACGACCTATCTGTAAAGTAACGTTATGCTTATTATGTATTTTTATAATTTTATATGGACCTTTCCATATAGGTGATAGAGCCTTACGGAGCCGGTGATGGTGTTTTATATACACTAAGTCACCAATTTTATAAGAAATTTCGCGTGAACTAGTATCATAATAGTGTTTTGATTTTTCCTTACTGTTAATTATATTTTGAATGGCCTTTTCTCTACTAAAGCGCATTCGATATTGTAAAGCTCGAATATAATCATTATAAGTAGTATTATTTGTTTCATATAGAGAATTAGGAATGTTCGGTTTATAACCATATAGTAATTCATGAGGGGTGAAATTAGTAGTGCAATGAGGGGTAGTATTATAGGCTAATATTGCAGTAAATAAATAACAATGCCAGTCGTTTTGATTTTCATTGACAAAGGATTTTAGGTATTCTTTTAAGGTAGCATGTGAACGTTCTAGAGCTCCATTTGTTTGTGGGTGATAAGGGGTAGTAAATAACGCTTTAACTTTTAGGATTTGAGTCAACTCTTTAAATAGGTCAGACGTAAAACATGTGCCTAAATCTGTTAAAATTGTTCTAGGGAAACCAAAAAGAGACATAAAATGTACAAGATTTCTGGCTATTTCCTCACTGGTAGCTGTGACCATGGGATAAGCGCTTGTAAATTTAGTTAAATCATCTTGTAATGTAAGGATGAATTTGAATTTTTGAAAACCTGCGTCAGGCAGGGGACCAACGATGTCCAGAGCTAGTCGTTCAAACGGTCTAGTGGAGGTAGAAGTTATTTCCATTGGAGCCTTGTTTGACATTCTCAATGGTTTATTGATTTGGCATAATTGACATTTCTTTACATAATCTACAATATCAGAGCGCATACCTTTCCAATAATAGGTAGCTTTAATTCGTTTATACATACGATTTGACCCTGGGTGACCCGCAATGGGTGAATTATGATTTTCTTTTAAAATTTTAGGTATTTCGACAGGAGTAGGATAAATTAATTGATTTTTGTATATATGAATTTTTATATTAGTGTTATGGAAAATATAGGCAATCATATTATATACCTTAATATAAGCTAACTTGGAAAATGGGTCAGAAAAGTCTGGTAAAGCGAGATCTGTAATATCATGATTTT